TTGAAGTTGTTTTTTTAAAATCCCAATCTTAATGAAGAATATGAAAGACTGATCTACAAATATTTTTTAAGAAATGTTTTGCTTTAAAAGAAGGGAAGTCTGAGCTGAAGAAAGGAGAAATCACATCTGGGAAACATACCATCATTATTACAGGATGTAAAATACTATTGCAGTTGTTTCTTACCTTGTTTCTTGATGTTAATATTGATGTAAATACAAATTTATATTTAAACATTACACTGGCTCTGCTGTCTTTCTGCACATGCAAAGTTTGATTTGAGCCTTCCTGTCAGACAGGCTGTTACCAGTGACATTCACGCCTGCAGACTCGCTTTCATCTGCTGTTGCCTTCCTGTGACTGGTAACTTCCCTGCCGTGCAAGCTGAAAAGACACATGAAAGGATCTTTCACCCCCACGTCCTACCAACTCTGCTGTTACTGTGCCCAAACCTACAGAACCCCGTCAGCCCATTCAAAGCTCTAAATAGCTTTTTCTTTACAGGCTTGAGTGTCACTGCTAATAAAATTACAGTGTCTGTCAGTTTAAAAGGCTGGCTGCCAGGTTTTACTGTGGTCCGACTCACTCAACCCTTCACACTGTCCAATACCCAAAACAGATGAGTCATTTTTTTTCCACTTTGGGTTTAAATGGAATTTTCATTTTATGCATTTTACATGAATAATTCTGTAGTGTTTTATTATTATGATGTAACAAAGCATTAATCTTTATTCTTTTAAGCCACGTGTAGCTTTAGGGATGGCAATGTTGCTGCACCACTTTAGTCCAGACAGAAATATCTCAAGAACTATCTGATGTATTTCTATAAAATGGTTTGCAAAAGATTCCTCCTAATGTCTTTTCCTATAGTACCACCACAGTTGTTATTAGAAAAAATGACTTATTTACATAAGAAATGTCTCAACATCTATTGAATAAATCCTAATGAAATGTTGTACTTACATTTACATCCACCACAGAATGAACTGAAAAATCTTGGGTGATCCTGAACTTTGTGTTTTGTGCTAATTAGCAGTAACATTAGCTCAGGTAAGTATAACCTACTACTATAGGAAGTGATGTACTATAGACTTCACAATAAACTTTATTAGTAAAGTGTCTCCAGAACAGCTTCACTGTTCCTCTTGTGGAGGGAGGAAACAACTTTCTTCCAAAAGTGATCAAGGCACTTTTTCATTAAACTAGAGCTGCAACATTTCATTGATATAAAATTACCAGTTAACTATTTAGAAGCAAAATCACCAACATTGTCTGGTTACATCTTTAATGTGAGGAACTGATGAATTTCTTTGTCATACATGAAAATAAACTAAATACCTTTGGATTTGTTGGGCAAAACAAAACATTTGTAGACATTTTCCACATTTTTGAGGTTCTGTGCATAAAAACAAAATGATCAAATCATGAAGAAAATACTATTCAAATTAATTAGTGGCCTGCTTTTTCTTTATTCATTTATTCTGGACTTTCTTTAAATTTGTCACCATCTGTAGGTATCAGCTGTTATGTGGGGGGTTTCCTATGTGTGTGTGTGTGTGTGTGTGTGTGTGTGTGTGTGTGCAGGGTGGAGCGGGAGGCCAATGGAAAAGACGCACCGCTCCTCTATTGGACCAGACTCGGAGTGAGCGCACGCAAGACGCGCCTACCGCAGCTAAAAGACTTTGCTTATTTCCCGGGACACGAGACAAGAGGGTCCGGGCCACCTGTCAGGAGGGCTGTACATCCAAATGCTGTATTTGAGGCATCTGGAGGCTGCTTGTTTAACCATGGGCGCGCTGTTTTCGCTATTATAGCCTCTCGGAGACAAAGGAGGAGAAAGTTATTCTGCTGCTTTCTTTGTGTTATTCTTTGTGGTCTTTCCAGCCGCATGAGTTCACCGCTGCTTTTAAGTCAGCTGGTCGGGGTTCCGTTAGAAATAATGCGCCCCATGGAGAAAGACACAACTTACACTAAGATCTTTGTCGGGGGATTGCCTTATCACACCAACGACGCTTCACTTCGGAAATATTTCGAGAATTTCGGGGAGATTGACGAGGCGGTGGTGATCACGGACAAACAAACGGGGAAATCCAGAGGATACGGCTTTGTAAGTTAATCCACTGTCTTGTTGTGTGGTAGAATAAATAAATATGTAGAGTAAAACACTGGTTCAGTTCATTATCAGCCGCTCTTACTTTAATGGAATAGTGCAGGGGGTTAAAACACAGCAGATCATGTGCGTCGCAGCCGGTTTCAAACGATTTATCTTCATGGTTGGTTGTATTTTTTTAAATTGCCTCCTGGTTATTATCACAGTCTCCTGCAGGAGTTTTATTCTGGGCTTTGGAGGCTGCACAAACTGCCACTTTGTTCCAGCAGCAGCCATGTGCAGTGTGTCTGGCGGTGGCAGTCACATGCTAGAAGCACGAATAGCAGGTTATTTCTTCTAAATGTGTCATCAATTATGTCTGTAGTTCCAAAGTACAAATGACCATATAAACAGTGCAAAGGCTCCCTGGTCTGTGTGCAGCAACAAACACACACACGAGTTGGTAATAAACTGCTGTAGCTGTGATGTCTATCTGTTTGCTGTGTGTGTGTGTGTGTCTGTATGTGTGAGAGAGAGAGAGTGCCAGAGAGGGGAGAGTCTGTGCTCACAGAGGTGTGACATGTCAGTTGGCTCTGCAAGATAAGGCTGCAGTACTTTCATTTTGACTTCCTCCCTCATGGCCCTTCCCCCAATTTGCCAGGGTGGGTTTGGTTGTTGCATGACTGTAGGTTTGTGTGTAAGAGAGGGAGACAAAGATAAATAGAGAAGGATTACTGTGTACTGGAGTGGCATGAAGCAGTTCAAATTTTCTCTGCCTCTATGGGCAGTGAACCAATCAACCGAGTGTGTCTTGAGTTGTTTTCTCTGCATTTAGATGGCACACTCATTTCATCCCTGACTTCCCCTTCAACGGTCTTAATTCCCAGCGGTGGCTTCGTGAACTCTGGTGATCTCAAACCATCCGTTGCCTCTGTTTGCACAAGAGTCCAGACTCTGATGCTCCAAAACAAAAGCAAGCGTGGCGGTAGCATTTTCAGTGTCCCATTTCTTGCCAGTGGAGTTGTGTCTAGCATGTATGCAGCTGCACACCAGCCCTTCCCACTGCTTTCTGCCCACTCCTCAACTCACTCCCTCCAGGTAGATTCCAGTATGTTAGCCAGTCTGAAAAAACACATCTGCCTCCTACATATCAGCCCACACCAGCACCTTACACACAGCTAACGCTCCACAGGAGTCAGGGTCTCCTCACGCGCTTAGCCAAAAGATTGAATCATTCAAGTAGAGGCAAGAACAGCAGCTCCCTCGGGGTCGCCCTGCTCTGGGACTGTTGCTTCAGTGGAGCAAACATGTAGGAATCATCACATCCACACTGGATAAGGAAGCTTTCACATGATGCCCTTATCTAGCTTAGAGAGTTAACCAGATGTATATTAATCAGTAGTGCTGTGATACTGTCAACAGGTGACCATGGTGGACAGGGGGGCAGCAGACCAGGCGTGCAAAGATGCAAACCCCATTATTGATGGCAGGAAGGCCAACGTGAACCTGGCATACCTGGGAGCAAAGTCTCGTAGCTCACAGACAAGTAAGTGTGTTAGATCACTGCTAAACACACAAGATGTACAGGACCATGTCTTTAATGTTTTGGGCCATGTTTCAGCCAAATAGCTACAAACTGTGTAGTTCAAAGTTAAGGCTCCATCTATGAATACTTTGACTTCTGTGGTGCTCAATTCCAAGCCCATTTTTTGAAGAAGTAAAAAGATGTTAAGAATTTATAGTTTCACTTACACAGTAAAGCCAGCTCAGGCTAGGACAGGGTTAAAGACTGAGATGTTGAGGAATCAAATCACAGCTGTAGGTGGACTGTAAAATATATGGATACTGTTTGAATCACAGGCACATGACTAACAAGGTTTCTCATGTTCAATGTAACATCCAGATTCTCAATACGATTAAAACCACAAGGATGTACATGGGAATATACTCATTACCAGATGAAGATAATCTAACTACAGATAGTCAGCTACATGGTCACTAGAATGGATCTCAAACTGGTTTCACAGAAATGAATGGAAACCCAGTGCTTCCTGGAAGATAAGCCAATATGAAAACCAATAAATATATACACAAATGATAGGTTAGTAGGATGAAATGTGCAAAACCACTAGTATGCTCATCACCCAGCCAGCTGTCTCCGCCACCATACGTTTTTTCTCTCTGTACTTGAGTTAATGTGGAGCTTTCATGCTGCTGACAGCAGTGCTCCCTCGCTGCTTCATTTCAAGCTTGCTGGCTCAAATACCGTCGAGTGTAGGTGTGATTGACAAAGAGTGGTGCCAACAAATACTGACTGTGTGTCCTTATTCCTGGGCCAGCACTGTAACACAGCTCCCCAAGCATGCAGCTGATGGGAGATGGCAGCACTTGGTACTGTATTTAGTTATTGTGTGGAGGGACAGAAAAATAGGAGCAAGGACTCCAACTGTTAAGAGCGAGAAATAACAGTGCCGGTCTCTTCTTTCTCCTGCATGGTGAAGAATGAAATTTGCATTTAGACCTAAGTTTGAGCAGAAAAGGAGTGCTGATGAAGTCGCAGCCGCATGGTAAAAGGAGGAATAAAAGAGAAATGAATAGCTGGAGGAATGCTGAAATGAAGTCAGAGAAGAGGAGGCGAAGTTTCTCCTTTCTTATTCAACCTCAGCTGATCCCTGGTGAACTCTGGAGGCAGCCAGGTCACAGATGTTTTTGAGCAACAGAGTGCATCTTTATGTGTTAGTGCGTCAAGCGTATCTGTGCACACTGAGGGAATAACGTGTACATCTAAAACAAACAAGCAGAGGCAGAGAGGGAGAGAATCAGCTCTGTCCTTGTCCGCCCGTCTCTCTTACTGTCTGGGCTTCCGACAGCTAAAACGTCCTCCCTTACCACTGTCTGTCTCTTTGTCTGCAGGTTTCGCTGTTGGAGTTCAGCAAGTCCCTCCTACATGGGCTCAGAGGCAATATGGGTAAGAAGCAGAAGAATCAATACTTCTATTTCCACTGCTCTCACCTTCCTGCTCCTCATCAACACCATACAATTCACCCTATCACATGTCCTTGACATTTGTCAGCACTCACTCCAGGTCTCCACTTGGGTTGTGGTGGTTACTGCTCCTCTGTGAGGTGAAAGAAAGGAAAAGCCCCAGTGGCTGTAACAGCACAAATGATGTTCTCTGTGTTACGTCTGTGCAATGTGTCTTGATTCGTCTCTGTTGTCTCTTTGTCTTTCTGGTCTATTACACATATGAGAAGCTCAAGTCTGTGTTTCTCTCATGCACGGCTTGGGCTTCACTAAAGGAAACAAGTCATTTAGTCAAACGTCCCTGCATCCCTTCTCTTTTTCCTCACCACACACAGATACATGTGTTTTCATAATTTCAGGGGACATTATATTGACTTGCATTCATTTCTCATAGACTTAAGGCAAAGACACACCGAGCCAATGTGAAAGAACTACCACCAGCGTAGGCTGACTGTGTCACCTTATGTCAGTGTTGTCTGGGCCAGTCGGGTTGAAAAGCTCGTACCTGAACACACCATACAGGCTACAGCCAACAGCCAACAAGCATGACAGAAATAACTCCCCTTACCATCAGTTGGCAGTATCTGTATTCTCCATTCAGGACGGGAAAGAAGAAGAGCTAGACTGCGGAAGTATAAGCTATAAACAAATCACCTTTCGTTCAAAACAGTTGCTTTTCATAGCTGCTTCTAATCCAGGAAGATTATCCCCAACAGACACTCACCAACAGCTCAGTGACGTGTTTCTGCCCTTACACAACCTTAAACCAACACCAAAACCCTAAAATGGAATGATTTACATCTTTCATAAAACAATGAGTTCCCACAGTGTAACTGTGTAAACAGACTGACACACAACACAAGTAATACCAGAGCACACACATGCAAACACACTGCTGCCACTATCTCCCAGAAACTGTTGCATACTATATCATATTATATCAATACCTCAGTAAAAAGTTACATTCACCATGATAAAGAATTTTGCTTGAAAGCTCACTGTAATCCACATGTGACAGGCGTTCGGCCTCCACATCCAGTCTCCCACAGCTTCAGTGAGAACACAAAAGGAAACCTTAATGACTCAGTTCCTGAGCAAAACATGGAGGATGATTCATACCCAGGGCCGTTACAGACGGTAGACGGACACCTCAGGTCGCACTCAGCAGCCTGTTGTTGTGTAAGCGGACTCTTCTGATAACACTTGACTGTCAGGCTTGACTCAGATATGCAGTGTGTCGCCATTGCTTAGGTGGTCTTAGACTTGTATAATGTCAGCAAGTGTCACAGCTGTCTGTTACGTACGCACCGTATGTGGATGTTCTGTTGATTCAAAATGAAATATCAGCTGGTTTTTATGATAAAAAAACATTTTGGTCTCTTGGTTAACAAAATCCAACATGTTTAAAGCAGGATCTTGTATATTTTACAGAGTATACAGTGTTTTGTAAAAGATCTCTTCACACTGACCTTGTCCAAGATGACACATTCTGCAACTACAGAAAAGTCCATTAAACATCTTAACTCTTGTGAGAGCTATTAATATTGCAGTCTTCAGTTTCTGAATGAGTGATGAGGGAACTGAGGGTGACCCAGATGAGTCTGTGAATGAGTGATGATGGGTTGAATGACAGTATCACTCAGTGGGGTAAGACACTGGGACCGGGGGAGTCGGGCTTTGAATCTCTGCTTAGAGGAAGAGTCACAGCTTTGACTTTGCAGATTGCAATGAATGAGGCAGAGAATCATTACTAACACGCCTGAAAGGCAAGTACACACAGAGGATGGCATTTAGTTTATTAGTGCAAAGATACCTGCATATTCAAGCATTAAGGCGTTTGTAAAAGATATTCTGTCAAGGCTTTGCTGCTTTTTTCTGCTCTGTCAAATGGACATTTGTGCCAAATCTGAGAAAATTCCCTGAGATATCGTGTCCACGAGAATGGAAAATATGGACAGACAACTCAAAAATGTTAACACCTCCAGACACAGGTATCACCAGCTGGATTATCTGTTCACTTTATGTGTGGGTGGACAGAAATAACAATGGGAACAGTGACAGCAGTTTAAGTTTCCTGCTGTGAGAAAGTGAATCTGCCACTGACTCAGAGTACAACACCTCTTGCAGCTGTGCCATGCTGAGATCTCCTGAGGTTAAAAGCTGTTACAGATACTGGTATCGCTTCTTCTTCTATAATGTTTTCCCTAAATACACCATCAAACAATGAAACTGAACAGATTTACATCATATTCAGTTTTTTTTTTAAACAAAGATTTCGGTTTCATCCAACCAAGTGCCACAAGCTAACCTGAGAGATAACGATTAACTGACAAGCCTGTTTGGTTTAACTCATCTAGATTACAGCACATATGGACAAAAATGACATTTAAACAACAGAAGAGAAAAAAAAATCTACCATACAGCCTGTCAAATTTAAAACATTTGTCAGGTTTAGCACATGCAAATGGCACAGCGGTCTCGCTCAGATCGTTCTGCCTCGAGGCTGCACATGTGTTTGACGTGATCAGTATGACTACAGCCAGTTTCTTACATTTGGCAAAGTGAAAGACTGTGTTTATTTACAGAACAACCAAAAGAAACAGCTCAAGGTTTAAACAGGCCTTTCTCTTATAAAGGGCATACACATACAAATGTGCTTATGATATCAGAGAAAAAAAACATTCCAGAGTAAATACAAAAAGGTAGATGAAGAAGAAATGTTCACATGAAACACTTTATGTTGATGGCATTTAAAGTGGATCGGTCACACCTGACCTATACTCGCTTATTATAGTTTGTATCAGCTGCTCCACTGATCTGGCAGATTATATTGGCCCAGTTCTAAAAATAACCACCGGTTTCATCAGAGATTGCCAAAGATACAAAAACATTTTTGGAATAGAGCTTATGGCTCAGGAAAATTGACTCCTAGTAACAAAGCCATCAGATGGAAATGGCCACCAGTTGTCAATGAAATAAACCGTAACTGGCCTCGACATTAAGATAATGATATGATCAATATTTAATGAAAATGTCCATGAAAGACATCTGCCTGCAGGATATTTGTTGCTCCCCTTTCTCCTCCATCTTCACCACTGTAAGGGCTCCCAGGGGTCTGAGACTCACACGTGTGTTGCCTCTAGCTGCTACACACACTCACACAGTTAACAGTAAATAACAAAGACAAACTTAAACAAAGCAGAGCTCTGTCTGTTGCTTTGGCATATTTGCTTTACGTTTTAAGACGACGAGCTGATGCCAAATATGGCTTTGAGACAGCTGAGTCTGGGGGTGGGGGGAGGATGGGGATGTTCTCATTTGAGGGAGGGAGTAGGCATCTGTCGCCTATAGCTGCCTGCTGTCTGCCTTTAACACCCAGCGTTGGTGCAGTTTCTTGGCAGAAGTGAGACTTTTTTCAGAAGATGTTCTGGTGTTTACTGTACTTTTTCAGTGAAAGGAAGGAGAGGAAGAGGTGGATGTGTGGTGAGGCTGTTTAAGGTGGTGGGGGGCGTACTTCCTGTTAAAGCAGCGGGACAAAGAGGGGAGGAGTGGGGTGACCGAGACTAACAGCACACCTGTGGCCGGGTGTAGCTGTGGCTGGGTTCACTGGAGCTTTATGGCCGGTGGTAGACGTGACGCTGGTGCTCTGTTTGCTGTGTGAAATGCATTTAGACGCAAGTGAAAAATGTTCCTCAGTGAATCATACAGCCACCTCTCTGGGTGCCGGCATGTCGACTGCTGTACTACATTCACACCCTCAACTGTTTTCTCTCTGCAGTACATCTCTTTTTTTTTTACCTTCCTCCATTTCCTCTACATCTGTCCCCCCTTCCCCCTCTAAATTACCTTTCATTCCTTAAGCCTGTACAAACACTCAGGTGTGCATTACTTATAGCCAGGGAGTCAATTAAGGGAGGAACTTCTGTTGTATGAAAAGCCATATTTGAAATAAAAACTGCTGGAAGCACAGAAAGCTCATGATGCTGGACATGAGGTAACCCTTCAGTGGGGAAGTTTTTCAGAGCGCAGTAATCAATCACAGTTTTCATTATAATTAAAACTTTAAACAGGATTACTAACCATCAGAAATGTTGCCATGGTTTACTGTGAAACTGTTTAACCCTATTTTCAAAATGCCAAACATTAGCTGGTTCCCCCCTGCAGTGCTGACTTACTGTTTTACATTACTGCAAACTGAAGTTTTATTACAAGACAAGACATTTGAAAATGTCACCATGGTTTCCAGAATACTGTGATACTGTAATATCATTTTTCATTCATTTCTGATATTAATTCCACAAAATTATTAAATGTAGAAAGTAATCATCAGTTTCAACCGTAGCCACAATAGGAACAGTCAAGAGCAATACATGAGTCCTGTTGTTCGGCCTTTAAAAAAATCTCTGATGTAATCTATTATTCTGCAAAAACAAATGTAATTTACATTACTTACTGTATTATGCCTATTAGGAACTAATATGAAATTAACAACAGTCTGACTGTAAAAAGGAAGAAAAAGTGGTGTCATATTTTATCAGTTGTTCCAATCAAACACAAATAGTAAAACCATCCTGTTCTAAATTTAATATACTTGTTTCAGATTTTATATTACCCATTTAAACTGCCACACGCATGCAACAAGTGAGCCTCAGATGGAAACTACTTAGATTTCATGAAACCATTTACAGTCTAAGACACGTTGTTATTAACACTGCTGTGGTAAAATTCACTCAGCTTACTGCACATTTGCTCCCTCATCTGAACTAGTAAAAGCGTGGCTGTCCTAAGGCATAAGGACTATGATGGCTGATCCTTCATCTCTCAGCATCTCTCCTTTCTCCTCTCCCTCCAGCTCATTCCTTCCTTTATGATTCCTGACTTTGATCTGTGAAAAAAAAAACAAAACAAAAAAAAAAAACTGAATGTTTTTGTTTGTTTTTAATTTGTACATCCTATCTTTGTTATCCAGCTGCCTGGTTTTGAGTAAGGACTGTGAGAGGGAGTTTATCAGAGGAAGCTGACTGTGAGGGAGTAAACCCAGACAGGGGAGGTTATTCTGCTCTCATGGGTCTGTTAGTGAGCGTACACCCATGCAGCTGCACCAATTAGTCCACTCACACATTCACACACACACACACACACTTCTTGACATCCTCTTCAAAGCTGCTTGTCTGACTACACACAACCTGTTAGGACTCTTTACTGTCATTTCTTTTAAGCTTTTGTAACCCACCCACTTTAGATTCGCAAGGAGCTAAGTGTAGTGGAGCAATCACAAAATAACACAACATGAGTGATGCTGGTTAATGGTTAGGATAAGTCTACAGGAAATGAATGTAAGTCAATGTGAAGTCCCCACAAAGAAGGAAAACACAACGTGTGTGGGTGGGTGTTTGATAGCCAGCAATGATGAAGGCACAAGAAGGAGAAAGGCGCAGCTCGCTCTCGTACGCTGCCACTGTCACATTGGATCAGTCAGGCCGGTGAAGGCAGGCAGCGGCACACAGCCGTGGGAATGACACGGCACTTCTGCTATGCGAGAGACTAAGAGAGAGGCAGCAAGAAGAGACAGGATACAGAGGAGCAGGGAGGGGGAATTATTTCTTTCAGTTTTGTTTTGACTTTATATCTTGTCTTATGTAATCAGTCTGCAGAATTCACCTTTCTCAGGGTGCTGTCCTTTTTGGCCAGGCCCCAAAATCGTGCTTTGTCTGTCAGCGATGGAGTCCTACATCAGCACGCCATTGTGCCACAGTCAGAAGAGTTTTGGTTTTTAGACATAGATTTATGCTGTTGTGTTTTCGTTTTTCTTGTTGGTTTAAAGGGTCAAGGCTCGGTTGGAAATTACAGCTGACAATATTGAGTATTTCTGTGCAGCAGTTGGTTTAATGGTGTGGTTGTTCAAGGTGGAGCTAGCTTTAACTTCTTTACATACACTTAACTAGTTTAGTCAATGTGTTCGCAGGCTCCTTCAACGGGTCACAGTGGTGTTTCACATGTGAGGATTTGATGCTTGTCTTTGTCACTCATTATAGTACAATGAATATCACAGTGTCACTGTTCTACTGATAAAAAAAAAGGTCACAAATGTTTCTTCTAACGAATTTCATTTTGTACAATTGCAGATATAAACATGCCTGAAATTACTGAGAGCTTCCAGTTTTCTAAAAGAGGATCCATCTGGGTTTTCACACCCTTCACAGTTGCACCACTAGACTGTGTTAGATGACTTTAGGGCTCCCCAGTATGACTCAGTAGGGTTAAATAAGTTTACAGAAGAGTTAAGTAAGGTTAAATACATACTGGTGTGTGTGTGTCTGTGTGTGTTGTGTATATGAGTGGGTATGAACAGGCCCGGTCTCTGTATTTGTTGTGTAAGCACACCTGATCCGTGCTCTTGCTCTGTTTAGGGGTAAGCAGCAGCAGGCCACCTCTCGCCGCTCTGATCCCCTGTTCACTGACAAGGTTACTGCCAGGTATAATGTGTTTGACTATAGGCACTGATCCTGGAAGTAGAAGTGTTAAACACAGTCATATTTTAGTTGCTTAGCAAAACAATCTAGGTCCTCTGATATGATGACTGTTGCTGTTGCCAGATGTAACCGAGGCAGTTCTGATGAAGTGGGCAGCCTCAGGCAAGGGCATGACTGAATACAGGAAGACAGCAGAGCGCTTTCTCTCTCATTACTGCTGTGGCTCAGAGTACCAATAACCTCGTACACTGCATCTGTCGTGGCTGGTTGTGTGTGTGTGTGTGTGTGTGTGTGTGTGAGCCCACAAGCATTCAGTTCAAAATCCAAAGGTTCATATCAGAAATATAACCAGTTGTGATAAAAAAAAAATAGGCTAATGTCTTGTTATATGGTGTTTTACTTTAAAATGAGTGATATTTCAATTGTAACAATTAGAAACTTTTAAAAAGTTTTTTTCTTCCAACATATCCCAGGCAGTGTGCTAATTAAACTTAAACACAAGGGAGAAGGCCTATTTTAAGGCAACAGTGCTGTTAATTGCACTTAGAAGGAGGGGAGGACAAGGGCTTTGTAGGAATCAGGTTTTTAATACTGGGAGATAAAGAAAGGGAGCAGTTACTGAAGACACCATTGTCAGTTTTTGTTTTATGTTGAAACACGCAGCTCCAACTCTAATTGTGTGTGTCTGTCTCTGATTAGCATTGTTTAAATGACACCTAGTAATCAGACCTCACAAGATGTTGTCATATCTCAGGGGATGCGGGACAGGAGTAGTTTGACAAAAATATTAAGATCATCATCCAGCTTTAAAGAAATGTCTACAAGGCAAAAGAAAGAAAATTTTGAGAACATGTATTTATAAATATACTTAAATTATTTCAAATTTAAAAGCACTATAAACAATGCTTCCCAATGCTATGTACGAATGTATATTTCCACATACATGTAATTATTATTGATCTGCTTCTTAATTACTTTATCAAATTATTTATTTGGCTCATTAATGTCAGAAAATGATGAAATGACCATCATATTTTCTCCCATATAAATAACTTGTTTTGTCTGATTAACCTGAATATTTCCACCTCATTATGGTAGTGGTCTAGGAAACGCCTCAAATATTCACACTTGAGAAACTGTACCATGAATAAGTTTGGGATTTTTTTGTTTTCAAAAAATTGCCATGTGATGGGTATATTTCACTCTTCTGAAAACTTTAATTGATATATTAACAAAATAATAGAATTGCTAATGGAAAAACATTAGTTGCAACTCCACATTTTAATTTCCTGTGATCTTAGCTCTTCTTCCTCTGTCTGTCCAGGCTTGCCCAGCAGTACGTCTACCCCCAGGCCTTCCTTCAGCCCAGTCTGGTGCTGCAGTCCCAGCTCAGCCCCACAGCAGCAGCACTGGCCTCCCCTTACCTGGACTACAGCTCTGCCTGCA